TGTTCTGTAGCTTATTAATTTGTGAACCATCGATTAATTCAAAGGATATTGGACAGTCAGTTAGCCCTAATTTATTATTCTTTATCAGATTTTCACTGAATTATACTCAAAGTCTTCAGGTATTGAGGCCAATAGATTTACTATGTACCACTTAAAAGGAATCCAAATGGTTGATTTTTTTTAGGTTGGATTGTTTCTCTTTCTCTTTAACATGAACTAGACAGAAGAAAAAAATGGATAGAGCGAAGAATTTTCTTTTCAATTAAATTTTCATTACTTCTATATAATAAATGCCAAATTGAGAATTTTTTTAAATAAACTAAACAGGCATATTTAAAATGATCTTTCATTTCTAATCTCTGTTTACCATAAATTATTTTTCAAAGAATTTTTATATGAAGTTCATTAAATCCTTGAAGAAGAACTTTCAGTAACTTTAAAATCAAAGTTCAGTAATTTACCGTCAATGTCATCGGAACGTATTCAAATTTTATTGATAGAATCCATCATTATATTCAACAAATGGAAATATATGATAAAAGCTTTAATCTTTTTACTTTTGTACTAGTTCTCTCTCCCTCTCTCTAACTCTCAAAATTGTTAACTAGTTAGTTAAGTATGTAGTAATCTAGTTTAACAACAGAAAAGAAAAAAGAACGAGAGCATATGGTGATCTTATTTTTTTTGTTCTTCTATTCATAACAATAACGCGTTATTGTTCTCATGTTAATTTTATTTTACTAAAATTATTATTTCACTATTTCCTAATTAACATAAATATTTAAAACAATTGATAAGTAGGATACATGAAAAAAAAAAGAAACATTGAGAATATAAGAAGAGAAAGAAACAAATCAATACAAACATTAACTTGGTAACATTAAACCACAGTATATACATGAGAACACATAGATGAATAAACAAATACTTTATATCCCACCTTAATTATATTCATTATAATTGTAACATTCAATAAAACCTTTAACATAAGTTAAGATTAAAATCTTACATAGTTCACCTTAAAACTTTAAATAAACTACACTACTATTACTGTGATTGAATAGATTGATATAAAAAGAAGGAAAAAAAAGTTACAAAGATGTATTATGTCTAAAAAGATTTATTAGAGATTAAAAAATAATAATAATTTATAACAATAAAAGAAAACTAGTTGCACGTTTCTTTTTGCCCAGAAAAAGAAAGAAAGAAAGAAAAATATAAAGAGAACAGATTGTACAGAATACAAAATAGTTGATCATTTAAATTTATCAATACTACTTATTATTATTCTTATCTAAGTAGATAGTAAATTAGTGAAATGGATAAGGTGGGGGGTTGGCGTGGAGAATGAATGGTTGAAACTTTGTAAAGAGAAATATAAATAGATATACATTTCATTTATTTATCAGTTAACCTCGAACTTATGTTAAATAAATAAATATATGAGCTTGGATGATGAACCATTTAGATAAAAATATAATGAACAATTGAATTATTAATTGAATAAATGTCTGTGTTTACCTATTTTTACTTAGTTGTCTATTAGTTTTTAAAAAAATATATAATTGAAAAATATAAAAAGGTCAAAAGAAAAACTATTGATATGTATATATATATATATAGGGTCACGTGTCTTGAAGTCGATTTGATGACTGGTATCAAAAGTGAGTCTGTTGCGTTGATTAGTTCATATGGTTTAAAGATCTCCGTTATATTAAAAGACTAATATTTGAACGAAGCATATTCTTTTCGATAAATTCTCTTCAGGTTCTACAATCATATATCCAAATTAATAATCCGAAAAAATGACCAAGTTAAGGGCAAAGTACATTGTGTAAAGCATGTGAATTTAGGATTGTGATAAACAAAGTACAATAAAACTGTTAATGTTAATATGAATTGTATAGAATGTTAACTTGACTCTGCGTATATGTTAAGTGAAATTTTAAGATCCATGCTCAGAATAAATATGGGTCAAATAGAGTGAGAGAGAAATAATCGTGCAATTGCAATTCGATCAAATGAGTAAGACGTAATACGGAGGGATGAATGCGAATATATATATAATTGGATATATAATTGTAGAACCTGAAGAGAATTTAACGAAAAGAATATTCTTCGTTCAAAGATTAGTTCATAGTTTAATCAAATGAGAAAAGTTCAATAAAGGATTGACTAAGTGGATAACTGAATGTTTTATTAAATTAAGCCCTAGTTTCAATAATTATTCAACTATATCATAAGTTAATTAAAAGAACACCTATACTGTTGTGAAATCAAAAACAAAAAATTATTGGCGTTCTTTATCTCATCAAAGCTGATATATTTAACCACTGATTGAAATCATGAGTCAGTTGAAGCTAGACCACCATTGAAAACCTGGAAGCACTGGACGGCCGTTTCATCCTGAGGAGTCCCATACTAGAACGAAACGGCTGTCCAGTGCTTCCAGGTTTTCAATGGTGGTCTAGCTTCAACTGACTCATGATTTCAATCTGTGAAAATTTCTAAAATCTCCACAAACCCCTTCTGATAATATTTAACCACTGTACATCATTCTGAGGAGTATTAAATCTTCCAAAGTACATGAGAACTTTGAGTTATTGGATTGATCAACATTTTTTTCTCATTTTCATGAAGCACGTGATTGAAGTGATAAACTTATAAAAAAGTTATATCTTGTCTGTATTTTATTTTTACCAACAATAGTAAACAACTTATTACCATAAATACAAGATTCCATTTGTGAAAGTAGTAAAAACAGTTTCATGAGTTGAAATGGATCAGACTTTAAAAAAAAAGATTCTGAAAGTAGAAAACCTCAACGATGATTAAGTTATTACTTTTTCCAGTTGAAATGTATATTTTCTCAAAGCAGATGAATAGAACACAGTTAAGAGAATAGTTTAAAAGAATCTGTTTTTCTAGCCTGTTTCGTCCAAGTAATAAAAAAAGAAATAAATAAAATACCCCCATATCATTAAGCACGTAAGTAACAAAATAGGGAATGAATTATCCATTAAATATTCTTCTATTAATTAATAATACTTTATGTTTAAGTGATATAAATAAGACAATCAAATTAATCTAATTTAATATTAGAAAAGGTAATAAAGAATAAAATCTAATTTAATCTACAGTAATAGAAACATTGGTAACATTCTGAAAGAGATCAATTTAATAATCTTATGAATTTTATATCATGATAATACGTTTTCATTAATTTAGGATTTATTCCCGTCCCTCCTCCCACTCTGCATATCACTTTTCTTTTGATTCACCTAGATTTTTTTTTATCTCTATCCTTAACTTATTCTGTCTTTACATGACATTCATATGCTTATGATAGTCACTAAGTAAATTTATTATGATACATAGTAAAATTATCTTGTTCCTAATAATGTTATTTAAAGGGAAATATTAATAGAACATAATTGCTTATTGAATAGAATAAGGTTGAAAATATTGATCATTTGAATCTCTTATAGTAAAGAATATTGATTTTGTTTTCATGTGTTTAAACTAATAATAATAATAATAATGCTTGTAAATTAATACAATATCGAGGCATACGCACAGTATGCACATATGCCAATAAGAGACTGATCAATTTCAGTCCTAAAACATCAATGGGAAGATTCAAGTAAAACAATATCAAGTGAATTAAACTTCACCCCATTGCAGAAGCAGGTGGCTATCAGGACTCAGTAGCTAAGTGGATAACGCGATGGCGTTTGAAGCGAACGGTACTGAGTTCGAGTCCCAGAGTGAACATCAACTCTGAGATGCAGGTACATCCAGCTGACGAGTCCCAAACAGGACGAAACGCGCGTCCTGGATTCCACTGCTAACCACTATCCATCTTTGCTAAGAATAATAATGGTTTCAGGAATGGTAAAAAATAAATGTACTACAACTAAACTAGGAAATTACTTTCATTTCATAATTCATTTATTCTCCATTTTTATAATAAATTAAATAATCTAGAAATATAGTATACTAACTCATGATTTTATATGTGCGTCAAAAACAAATAAACAATGGGTGTACTTCGTAGTATGATATCCACTACATATACTGGTTGTTTAGATCTAGGTTACATTTAGTTCTCAAAATGGTAATAAATACAATAAGATGGCAGGTGTTATTTTACCAGATACTAACCACCCCCTTCACTCATATCTTTCTCCTTGTATATTTTCTGGTAGAACGAGACGTAATTATATTAAAATCCATGCACGCAAGCAAAAGTATAAAAGTTCTATAATACCTTACCTAGCAAATATACTCTGTGACGAACAGGTTGTTAGAGTTAACCTAGTCAATAACCTGCATTCTTAACATGTCGCTAATTTGAAAAATTGTAGTTTTTCGTTTTTTTTAAACGCATTTATTTGTCTTTGTTTTTTTTGCTGAAATACCCTGTGCTTAGAATTCTATATTGTACCAAAGTATAATATTGAATAAAGCCATTAATAATAATAATAATAATAATAATAATAAAGACAAATGGATTTTTATGACAAATATTACTGTGCAAAAACACTTTTAGTGTTTAAACACTACTTACATTAATGAGCAAGTTTCATTAGTGATGTGTCAATGATTTAGACATCTAATCACAATTTTTTGACTGTATGAAGCCGAGTTTGTTTACCCTCTAGAATAATTTTAAAAAGTTATATGCATAATAATGTTTATTGCAAAGGTTCAGTTCAAATTATTCAGCCAGTAAATAGTTGAATCTGACAACTTATCTTATATAATAGTCTCATTAAAACAAAACTAGTTTGACAGTGAATACTGTCATAGTAAATTCAAGTTCAGATTACGCAATACTACTTTTGAACAGAAACTCAACAAAATTTTATTAAAATTTAAGTTTAAATGATAGTTTGTATTTAGTTTAGTTGAACAGTGACTATAATGAGGTTGTAATCAGTGTAGTTCTTTAAATGATTTTTCATAGCATTTCTTCGTCTATGTTGTTATTTTCATAGGGAATTTTACTACATTCAAATGGAGAAATATGCACGAGTTGCCATATCTGAAGGAATACGTATTGCTGATGAAATTCATGTGACAATTGAATCTGAAATCTACAGAGCTTTAAATTTGCATTATAATCGTAATCAACAATTAGAGGTAAGGAAAACTATTTTTTAAAAATCGTTTTTAACGTTTGTATTTACTTTGCATTACTGTATAGGCTCTTATATCTAATACTTTAGTAATGTTTGTGCGTTTATGTTCTCACAATAGTTCTTTACAAGCGATTAAACTATATATAGTTGTCACTAAGTTCCAAATCATTTAGCGTTACTACGATGTATTTTTTGATAATAATTGGTAAATGAATTAAAAAAAATAAACAGAATTAGATGAATCTTTAACAAATTCATAACCTGAGAAATCAAAGAAAACGAATCAACACTTATCTGTAACACCCAGATAAACATTATAAACAATAAAAAAACCCGCAACAGGTTACTTTTCAAGTTACTGATTTCGATAAAATGCTACATTAACCACTAAAAGCCCTAGAAATTATAAGCCTATCAATAAAATTCAGTTAGGAACATTGATTATATTCATAACAACATATTGATGTATTCAAAAAGTATTTACTTGAGGGAGGACATGAAAATAACAATAATATAATTGATAGGTTGTAGTAAGTTAATCACATCGTGATACCAATTTATTTAGTATGAATTGTTAAGTTCTGTATATTAGTTTATTTCCTCCTAATCTATTGATAAACTATATCTTTTAATGAAAGGAAACTTGTTGGACTAAACTTTCTCCTTAAAACTTTATATCTCATGACAGAGAGTGATCAATAGCCATGCTGAAATCACACATGTTATGCATGATTTCTACTTCATTGTCAGGGCAGTATTCTTCAGTTTGATATTGTGGTATATTGTACTCACTGGAATGGTGTTCTTTTTACATCACTTTGTGACTCACCTTGGCAAGTTATCCTGTGCCCAAATCCTGTTGTGGTACAATAAATCATGAAATGTTTATTCGATTATTGGTGACAAGTTTAGATTATATCAGTGATTGTCATATTATATCACATGTGATCTATAGACTTATACAAAAAGCCACATGTAGCTACTGACATACGTTAAGCTTTGTCGGGACCATAGCATGGTTTTGACCTGAGTAAATGTTAGATCCGTTATTCGACCATTTTCAGATGCTTTAAAATAGAATGTTTAACTTTATCATGTAAATTTTTGAGCACGGATCACTGAACATATGCACACTGATATGAACGTTTTGTCAATTAAAATTATTACCAGAGCTCACATCATCAATTAATCTTAGTGAGACAGCTGTCAAAAACCTGGAAGCACAGGAAGTCTATTTAGTCCTAGTATGGTACTCCTCTGAAGTGCATAACCTTGTTCCTTCAAAACAGATTGAACCATATGCCTTCCATCTCCCATGCGAATGCCCAAACTTTAGATCACTAAACCAGCATACAACTAAGAATTGGTTGATGTTAGACATTTACGTTGTAGGAAGCGACTCAGTGGTTTAAACGTTAGGCTTTTGAGCTCGAAACAATAGATCTTGGGTTTTGTTCCCTTTGACAGATTAGTAACACGCACTTTTGTAGATTCTTACATTAGAACTAAGCAGCTTTTCTATGCTTCCAGGTTTTCAATAATTATCTGGTTTAAATCAGTTCTAAACTTAAATTTCAATAATTTTACAATTGCCACAAATCACTTATATTAATAAAATTATTATTTTACTACATATAGGTACCAGATCATTTTCGTATTGTTGTTGAAGCAACATTACGTGAATTTTTCAATGCACTTTATACTGGTAAAGATTCAGAACAATCATGGAAAAAACCAATTTATAAAGTGATAGCTAGAATGGATCAACCAGTTCCAGAATTTTTCAAAAGTCCTAATTGGATGGATCAATTAGCTGATGGATAAATGAGAAGAAAAACAAAGTAATCAGTTGATTACTTATTATTATGTTTTAAATTACAAAAATATCATATAGACGAATACCTACTTGACTAATAAACATGATCTTCATAATTCAAATAACAGTTTCATCACCTGAAATCATTATGAGTATAATATATTTCATTATACAACTTAGAATTTAGTAAACAACCCCCCCCCCAAAAAAAGGTACTTGTTCTTTCATTCCTTATAAACTAAACTTGGCAAAACAATTTGATTCTTTTTTTTTAAACAAACAACCTACATATTTTAATTTATCTTTTATTTTTAAAACAAAAATTGTATATTTAAATTGATTTTCAAGTGACCAAGTTACTATCAGTATCTATGGTTAAAACAATCAATAATTTGTACTTGTTAAACTACATTGTACTATTAGAATAATAATTAAAATAATCTATTAAAGTAATTATATTTCATTGAATATAATATTTTATTTCACCTTGAAAAATTTCCATAGATGTTCTCTTTCTTTTATTGAATGTGTATCATTATTCGTTTCACAAGTGTACAGTTATTATAATTTAAATTATTCAGTAAAATTTATTGATTATAAAATGTTTGTTTTTTGTAAACAATGATGGATAGTGGCTAGCAGTGGAATGTAGGACGCGCGTTTCGTTCTATTTGGGACTCGTCAGTTGGATGTACCTACAAAAAGTTTGTGAATTAAGTCAATATCGATGCATATGCACAGTATGCACATATACCAATAACAGACTGATCAATTGCAGTCTTAAACCTCAATGGGAAGATACAAGCCAAACAATGCCAAGTGTTTATTTTTGTTTTCCTTTTTAGCATTATAACTGTAACCTACGGTGGGATGTATACTACGATTAAGCATTAGATCAGATATTAGTTAGATATCATAGTGTATTTATTCATTTTTTAAGATAATATCAAGAATTTTAACACAACAATGTATCTTTGTTCAGTGATCAATTCATGTATTGGATTATATGTTCGAGATTTCTTGGTTTACTCAATTTTATTTTTGTTATATGAATACTTTTGTGAAATGCAATATAATTTTTCAAAACGGTATTCGAATCTGAAGAGTAGGTTAATGAACTGATTACATAATTGCAAAGATTTGCTAAAATTGTGAATTGGTTTCCCTAATTGGAATCATGAGTCAACTGAAGCTAGACCACCATGGAAAACCTGGAAGCACTGGAAGGCCGTTTCGTCCTAGTATGGGACTCCTCAGCAGTGCGCATCCACGATCACGCACCCCGCGAGATTCGAACCCAGGACCTATCAGTTTTGCGCCAGGCTTTTAACCAACTAGACTACTGAGCCGTCATCCAACGGTGTTAATGTCTAACTTCAACCAATCCACGAAATTAGTTTCCATTAATTTGTAAGAATTGAGGTACTGCTAAAATCCAGCTGTCAGTAGGTGAATATTTCAGCCTATTTTAGAATTTTTGGAAATGATTATACTTAGTCTTCTGAAACCGGTCCAAAAGCCTTTTCAACGCCATCATTTGAGTTCAAGCTCTAAATACATGGATTATTTAGATTTAATGAATCTTAATAAGAACCACGTGAACTGTTAGAGTTAACTGAGTATTTGTTAAGCAAAAAGCAGTTTTCTTTTACCTAAAAGCATAATGATAACTGTGTCCAAAGAAAGCTAAATCAATCATTACTGACATAAAACATGGCAAGAATGATTAACCTTTTAAGTTGTCGGACCTCACATCAGCACACTAAGAGAAAAAGCCAATAAGATTAAAAGTAAATAATAGTTAATTCTCACTTCCGCACAGATTTGAACATGAGAAGTACGTCTTACAACAAAAATGAGTTTAAAAAGTAAAAGTTCAAGAAGGATGTTTAATTCTAGATTGGGGTAAAGATATATAATGGATGCAACTCCATCGCTACAAGTAAACTGTTGTCATCAACCGTAGATTCCGAGTATTGCAAATGACCCAACTAAGAAATTGACTGATATGTCCTAGATTAGCACTCAATAATATTATGGACTGATTCCATGTCATGATTCGGCCACACCCAGGTGTCTTTCAATATACTTCTACCATCATAGGCATTACGTATCATGGTAAGCAGTGACTGGGTATACGTTATACATGCCCCAGCCTCTCAAATCAATGACGATTTTTAGTCTAATCGAATGATTAGTCGTTTTTCCTTAGTAGCCGCCGCCTAGCTTTTGAATTGTCCAATCAACTGTTCCATCAGACATTATTAGTGTTTTGAACATATCGACGGTAACCTAATATTATCCTCTACTTTCAAATACCACATTTTATTGACTAACGCGATCTAAGTTGAGAAATATACACGAGGAATGACGATATGTATATCTCAATAGCAATCAGAAACGATCAAACTGGAGTCAGATCCCGATCCACTAAACTACAATGAGATTATTACTCTCTGAAGATAAGTTTAATGGACTATACTTCGTAAATCAATTTAGATTTAATGATTAATACCGTTCAATTTAACCAATTTGCATTTAGTTAAATGAAATAAACGATTAGATCCCTATTTGTTACATTATATACAACTCAATGAAATAGTATACTGAAAATAATTATTTGTAGAATCATGAAATGTTAACTACAATTCTCTTTGTGAATAAAATGGTTTATTATCATAATCGGTTTTGAAGCCTGAAGGTTGTATGTATTCATTGTTGTGAAATATCATAATAGAACAAAGAAATATGTTTAATTTCAATAGCTGAGACCATGAGTCACTTGAAGATGAACCACCATAGAAAATCTGGAAGCACTGGATGGCAGTTTTGTCTCATTGTGGGACTCCTCAGCAGTGCGCATCCACGATCCCGCCTCACGAGATTCGAACACAGGACCTATCAGTATTATGAGCAAATGCTTAACCACCAGACCACTGAGCCGGCATCCAATGGTGTTAATTTCTAACTTCAACTAATCCACAAAATTGAGCGACACATCCACCATTGTCTTCAGTGAGTTGATATCTGACAACAGACCCAATTGATCTCCATTGGTCACTGCTTCTCACTAGAGCTCCAGGAAATACCTCTTGAATCCAGTCACTAGTAAGCATATGTTGATTAATATCAGAAGGGGTCTTTGTGGATATTATAGTTTGAATCTCGTGTGGCGAGATCGTGGATGTGCACTGCTGAGGAGTCCCACAATAGGACGACACGGTCGTCCAGTGCTTCCAGGTTTTCCATGGTGGTCTAGCTTCAATTGACTCATGATTTCAATTATTGAAATTATTAAAATCTCCACAAAAGCCCTTCGGATACAAATATATTTAAATTTAAATATTATCTTGAAAGGATATTAACAATTACTTTACGTTTTTTTTTTATATTTTGAATTTTCTTGCGTGTTTTACACCAATTCTTTCTTTATTATTTACTATTAAAAGATGTAGCTGAGATGATAATTAACTTTTTGATGCATAAAAAAATGAGAAATAAATTCTTCATTTGATAAAAATGATTACTTATTTCCGGAAAGTTTAGAAAGCTTATGGAGTATACATATATTAGCAATTTCGCCAAGCAATTAAAAAGGAGCTTATAATTTGCAATCAAATTAGCTTAAATATATATATGATAAAGTAAACGAAATGTGTCAACGTTGGGCCTATTTCCTTAATTATCATAACAATAATGATAATAGTAATACTACTAATAATAATTAATACATTTTGCTTAGTCATCAATGCGGGTCTCCCATACATGTATGCAAGTTCATGCATGTAAATGTGTGATTATATGCGTATGTTTAGTACATAGAAATATGTATTCTCTTACTTATTTATAAATAAATATCAGTAATGTAAAACCAGTTAATTCGGAACGTACATTTTCCATTCTTATTATGTGTTTAACTACTTATGAACGTCTAACATAAGATAGTAAAATAAATATAAGCACCATTGAGTAAGGAATTATTAAATTAACTTATATTAATCTGTACAAGAAAGTTAAAATAATTTACATAACTAGTTATTATTATTATTCTGACGACCATAATGAATCTAACACAACCAGCTACATATTTTGTCATTTCCTATTTTCAACACTACTACTTCGATAATCAATTCAACTAGTTTTTTGAAGATGGGAAATTGATTTCAAGGGGTAGGATATTTGTCGATGGATTTGTAGCACATCTGCTCTTCAATATCCAGTATGTGTGCGATATCACTTTATTCGCTTTACAAACTCATCAAGTTGAGATGCACTATAATGTCCAAATGGCTTTAAATGACTGAAATGAAATCGCTGATAAAATTACACTTATATACAGTGCTGATTCATTAAATGAATTTTAAAAAATCACCCAAAATACTAGACATTGCACTTAATTGAACATTGAAAGTTATTTATATTTACACGCCTTCAGTAATTTTTAGACTTTATATGAGTTTAAGTCCATGACAAAATGTGTACTAAAAATATGGTTGATCAACAGTTAATTTCACTTATTATTGAGTGCAATATCAGTTGATGGTGAGACTATAATTTGTGGACGACCTTGAGTGAAGCCTAAGTGACCTTGAGAGTGTCCACCTAATAAGTAGGACCAAATAAGGATTATGAAACAGTGTGAGAGATTAAATTTATGATTTTCAGTTGATGGTTAAGGTTAGGAATTAGATTTAGGGTTTTCATCATGAACTATCATGAGCTAAAATGCCAAAACTCAATTAATCCAAATAGATGAGTGAAACTTGCGCCAAAATCCGAGACCTGTTATCTTATACCTGATTGGTTCATCCATAGTTGACTTCCAATTATAATAATTCTTACGTAAAAAGGATTAAACAAGCTATCTGATTATCGATTTTTAATAACTTATACTTTATCATAAACACTTTTAAGTTTGCTGTATTGAAATTCATTATTAATATCAACTAGATGAAATGAAACCTAGTTCTACAATGGGGTAGAAAGCAATTGTTTGATTGATAAATTCTAACATTTAATATGCGGTTATTGTAACTACAAAGAAATAATAATAACTGAGTAGTCGTATTCATATTTCTTTATTGATCTTTGAAACCCCTTCATTGTACAGAGCTTAACTATCTATTTATAGATGTTGAAATTAATGTGATTTAATTCTCACATGCATCTCAGTTTTCAGTGATATTCCAATTGGT